TTTATATTAACCAGTTTTTGCCTATTCGCGTATAATTTTCAAGAAATAAAGAATATTTTTCCCGGCCTTGTTTACTAAATAAGCAGCTTGCGACATGTTCAGCCCTATCTTAACATGACGTGACTCAGAGTTTCACCAATTCTGCCAAGTACTCTTAGTTTTAACACTAAATATGTCTGAATATTTTTCAGAATATTTTTAGAAATTTTAATGCTGTAAGTATACGCCCAGGTATTATATTTTTGAGAATGGTTCCTCTATATTATTGGTGGGATAAAGTACAGTTATGGTATTTTTGAGCATATTTTTTCGTTAAATATGGGCACCAATTAATATTTTTCTGTAGCTATGTTTTTGCCCTCCAATGCTCGGTTCCAGAACAATGTGATGTGCTAATGAAGATACGCTTATGTGGAGAGCATTGTTGAAGTCTTCTATTGGAATGTTTTGGTTTTCAATACCCGTTTCCCTTATTTATGAGTATAATTGATTTTACAGTAGAAAATTGAGATATTTTTCAAGAAAGTGATTAGGGAATCCTGATGGAACTTCTTCTTATAATTTAATTGAAACTGAATATCATTATTAATTTTAACAGAGTTTCTCAGAGAATCTTAAGCAGAAGGATCTTGGTGATTCTTCTGGGGCTGCCAATGCAAGAGAAAAAAAGACAGTAACTGAGGAAGCAGAAGGTAAGAAGCGTATTTCACTGAAAAAGTCATTTGTGAGAAAGGTTATTGAAACACATGAGCACTGACATAATCTACTAGACTAGGAAAATCACCTGTTAAATGCGTAGTCACAACAACAAGAAAAGAGAAGTGAAATGGTTGTATGTCTTATCAGGTGTCCGCAACAGAGGGATGTGAGAGTGCCACAGAGGAAGTGAATTCTTAGTTCCATTTCAAGATAGTCTAACACAGGAGGAAAGGCTGAAAGTCAGGAAGGGGAAAGGAGAAAAAGAGGGAATGAAGAATGGGCAAGGCAGAGAGTACAGGAGGGAGTCCTTGAAGGGAAAGGGAACAGGTGTATATAATGCAGGGTGCTGAAATAAAATAATTCTTCCTTAATAAAAGGTAGAGCCAGGCATTAGAATGGTGGGAAGAAAATCATGTGAGCTCCCAGCACCGACATGGGCCAGAGAAGCAGTGCAAAATTTCCCCGCTCTTCCTGTGTTCCTCACTGTTGGGAAGGCGTTAAGGATTGAGGCCCCTGATCAGGCAGAGCTATGTTCCATCTACCATAGAGGCATCGAAGCATATGTGGTCAGCCATAGGTGTATGTAATTTAATGTCATATAAAACGATGTTTCTTCATATCCTACAGTCATATAGTTCAAAATTAGGGAATTGGAAGGAAGAGAGTAGGGTTAGTTATGGAGAGATCGGGGAGGCTATATAGCCTCTTAAAAAGGCCATTAGAAACTTTCTGATTTGTACTGCCATTTCAGTTTGGAGAGATGCGATAGGAAGCAACTTGATGCTGGATTCTGAAGGGGTAAGTTCAGGTAAGGGAATGTGGAGGCACACTCAGTACAGACCAGAGCGCCTCAAACTTTAAGAAATCAGCTGGGCACCTTGTTAAAAACGCACCTTGTGTGATTTGTAGGTCTGGGATTCTGCTTTTGTAATACATCTTCAGGTGATGCTGATGGCGGTTGTCCTTGAACCACGCTGAGTAGCAAGGGTATAGACTGCCCTGTAGAGAAATCTGGTAGAAGAGCCATTGCTGAACCGTTCCACCATAGCAGAATCAAGGGAGAGCCTTATTTTGCTCTTATTTCTGAGCATGTTTGTAGCCATAGGGGAAAGAACAAACAAATGAAAACATCACAATTGCAGACATAAAATATTGCTGCTAAACAGAGAGAAAAGAAGTGGTGGAAATGATGTGTGAAAAGAATGGAGACCTCTGATTTGGAGATTGCTTTTGTAAAGGAAAAGGGATTGTGAGTGGGTCCAGAGGGAGGAAAGAAAGCAGTTAGCTAGGCAATTTTGCAGTTGATGATGAGGACACTTGAGAGAACTCACTTCAGATGGATGCTGGAAATTTGCACTCACACGTCAGATTAGGTTATTGCTGCCCCAGAGATTACTGGAAGGAGAGGAGTGGTGGAATTGGGGTAAACCACCGTCATTCATTTCTCCTGTCTGTACCTGTTAGGCATCAAGATGTATACTAGTAAATCAAGCGAGATGTGATATTAATCAAATGTGATTAATTTGAATATGGAAGCATTGCTTTTTTTCCAGAAAACTATTTTTGTATATAAAATAGCTGTTTCCTAAATATCTTTACGACATTACCATAATATACCTTTGAAAAGTAATATTAGAAACTATAAAATTATATAGCATATTTCTTGAACTTTGTTTTTATTTTCAATGAATACTTCATTGATTTGAAATATAAAGGTGTACCCTCCCCACATATCATTGACATGTGGGGTGTTGGTCTGTTCACCCTGTTGGATAGTTTCTTGTTGCTTGGTTTTACCTTTTGTTCTATTGTTTTTTAAGAGTCCTGAGATATTTTTTTTTTTTTTTCTTTGAGACAGAGTCTCACTTTGTTGCTCAGGGTACAGTGAGTGCTGTGGTGTCAGCCTAGCTCACAGCAACCTCAAACTCCTGGGCTCAAGCAGTCCTTCTGCCTCAGCTTCCCGAGTAACTGGTACTATAGGCATGCGCCACCATGCCCGGCTAATTTTTTTTCTCTATGTATTAGTCGGCCAATTAATTTCTTTCTATTTATAGTAGAGATGGGGTCTCACTCTTGCTCAGGCTGGTTTCGAACTCCTGACCTCAAGCAATCAGCCTGCGGTGATTGCCCCGGCCTCCCAGAGTGCTAGGATTACAGGTGTGAGCCACCGTGCCTGGCCTGGTGGGGTATTTTTTGAAGGTGATTACACTGGTGTGTATCTGTTGTGCTAATTTCTGTATAATGCTGTTCTGAGTATTTTGTGCAGGGCAGGTCTGGTCATGGCAAATTCCCTCAGTGTTTGCTTGTCTGGAAAACACTTAATTTCTCCATCAATTGTGAAACTTTGTTTTGCATGTTACAAAATTCTAGGCTGGCATTTGTTCTGTTTAAGTCAATTGAAGATGGGATCCCATTCCCTTCTGGCGTGTTGCATTAAAGGTATACTCTTGGTGTCAGCCATCAACCTGGTCATTTATTCCTTCAGGGTCATGATTTGCTCCTCTGATTAAAGATCACTGTTCACATTGGTGTGTGTGCACTTTGATATTTGAGTTGTTTTCATTGAAACATAATCTCACTTATAAAATGTTAATTGTATATTGTATTAAACCTATATTCCTATTTTTCTTTAGTTCATTGTGTCATATTGATGTCTGCATGAAAAAAAACCACAGAAAACATAAAGTAGTTATTTTCAAAGCCTAACCATAGGATTCAGCTCAATCTAACTCTCCATGACTGTACGATTGGCCTCGTCATATTTACATTGATTGTATGTGCCTTTTGTTTGTTAGGGCCTCCTGAGAAACATCATCTGTTGAAGGTAAGATCATTTATTTTTTAAATCTGGAATTATTTACCAAATATGGTGTGAAATGTACATTACTTATGATACACTTTGTTTCGAAGGCTGTTGGGCATACGATTACAAGGAAAGTTTCTAGTTTGAAGAAAACAGTAGGATGGAAGAATGTGCAGACATCTAGATCAGGTAATTTTGTTGTTGTTGTTGTTGTTGTTTTAGAAACACGGCCTTGCTGTGTCATGCTGGGTCCAGTGCACTGACCTGATTATAGTTCACCTTTGAACTTCTGGGATCAAGAGATCGTTCTGCCTCCCTTAACCCTTTGCACTCGGATGTCAAGTGTGGATAATGTCGAGTGGATGATGAGAAAAAAGCAAGCGAGTGCAAAGGGTTAAGTTCCCATTTGGAATCCCTGTACTCATTATGGAATGCACAGGCGAATAACTAGACTCCACAATTTTTACAGTGTTTCCAGTGCTCATGGGAATTCTGATCTTTACCTAGACAAATGCTTTATGGTAATATGTTAATTTAAAAATATTAAGGGGGTACAAATATTTTTGTTTACATCACTAGCTTTTGTAATGCTTGTGTCATGGCTATAGGTGTGCCCATTACCCAAATAGTGTTCATTGTACTCATTAGGTAGGTTTTTGTCCCTCTCTTCCTCATGCCACCACTTGAGTTCCACTGAGTTTTACTTCTATCTGTGCACATGTGTGCTCATTAGTACAGGTGATGTTTATTGTTGTTTGTGGGGTTTTTTTTGTGTTTTTTTTTGCAATCTTGAGATACTTCACTTAGGAGAATGGCCTCAAGTTCCATCGAAATTGCTTCAAAAGGCATTAATTCATCCTTTTTCATGGCTGAGTAGTAATCTATGGCATACATATACCGCATTTTATTAATCCACTCATGAATTGTTCTACATCTTTACAATTGTGAGTTGTGCTGCAATAAACATTTGAGTGCATGTGTCTTTTTGATAGACCTCTTTACTTTCGGTAGATAAACAGTAGTGGGATTGTTTGATCGAATGATAGGCCTGCTTTTATTTCTTTGAAGAATCTCCACACTGTTTTCCATAAGGCTTGTACTAATTTGCAGTTCCACCAACAGTGTATGAGTGTTACTTTCTCTCTGCATCCATGCCATCATCTGTTGTTTTTGGACTTTTTAATAAAAGCCATTCCGTTTAATAGCAGGGGTAAGGAGATATCTTACAGTAGTTTTAATTTGCATTTCCCTGATGCATAGTGATGTTGAGCATTTTTTCAAGTTTATTGGCCATTTATGTATCTTTTTTTGAGAAGCTTCTATTGACATCTTTTGCCCGCTTTTTAATGGAGTTGTGTGTTCTTTTCTTGCTGATTTTCATGAGTTCCTTGTACAGTCTGGTTGTTATTAGCCCTTTGTCAGATGTATATTTTGTGAATATTTTCTTGTGAATATTTTCTTCCATTCTGTAGGTTATCTGTTTGCTGTGTTGGTTATCTCCTTAGGTGTATAGAAGCTTTTAATGTAATCAAATCCCATTTATTTATTTTTGTTGTTGTCATGATTTCCATTGTGGTCTTTTTCATAAATTCTGTGGGTAGGCTGATATCTAGAAGGGTTTTTCCTATATTTTCCTCTAGAATTCTTATGGTTTCATGTCTCAGGTTTAAGTTTTTTATACACAATGTGATTAATTTTTGTGAGTGGTGAGAGAGATAGGGATCCTGGTTCATTCTTTTGCACATGGCTATTGAGTTTTCCAATGGCATTTATTGAAAAGGGGCTCCCCCCAGTTTACATTGTTGTCTGCGTTGTTGAGGATCAGTGTTTTGTAGGTAGGGGGTTTTATTTCTGGGTTCTCTATTTTGTTACACTGGTCTTTCTCTGTTTTTGTACCAATATAATACTGTTTTTTTACTGTAGCTTTGTAATACACTTGAAGACTGGTGATATGATGCCTTTAGATTTGCTATTTTTTCTTAAGATTGCTTTGACTATTCGGGCTGATTTCTGGATCTAAACAATGTGTGAAATTATTTTTACTAGATCTGTGAAATATGACAGTGGTATTTTCATGGAGATTGGATTGAATCGTAAATCACTTTGGATAGTATGGACATTTTAACAGTGTTGATTCTGCCAATCCATGAGCATGATATATTTTTCCATTTGTTTGTGTCCTCTGTAATTTCTTTCCTCAGGGTTTCACAATTCTCCTTGTAGAGATTTTTCACCTCCTTGGTTATAAATATGAATATATTCCTAGGCATTTTGTGTTCTTTGTAGCTATTGGGAATGTTATTGAATCTTTGATATGTGACTCTCAGCTTGTCTGTTATTTATATAGAATATATAGAAATAGAGTGTATAGAAATACTACTGATTTATGTATCTTGAATTTACACCCTGGGACTTTGGTGAACTTAGTTATCAATTTCAGGAGTCTCTTGGTGGAGTCTGTGGGGTTTTCTAGGTAGAAGATTCTGTTGTCAGTGAAGTACAATAGTTTGATCTCTTTCCCAATTTGGAAACCCTTTGTTTCTTTGCTTTTCCTGATTGCTTTGGCTGGGACTTCCAGCACTATTTTGAATAGAAGTGGTGACAGTGGGCACCCTTGTCTTATTCCCCTTCTTAGGAGGAATGCTTTCAACTTTTCCCCATTCAGCATGATGTTGTCTGTTGGTTTGTCATATATGACTTTTCTAATTCTGAGATACGTTCCTTCTATGCTGAGTTTGTTGAGGGTTTTTATCATGAAAGGGTGCTGAATTTTGTCAAATGCTTTTTCTGCATCTATTGAGATGATCATCGGTCTCTATTTTTCCTTCTCTTTATGTGATGAGTCACATTTATTGATTTGCATTTGTTGAACCATCCTTGCATCCCTGGGAGGGAGCCCACTTAGTCATGTTGAATTATTTTTTTGATGTGCTCCTGAATTCAGTTTGGTAGCATTTTACTGAGGATATTTGCATCCATATTCATAAGGGTATTGGTCTGTAGTATTCCTTTTTTGTATGCCTTTTCCTGGCTTTGGTATCAAGGTGGTACTGGCTTTATAGAATGCATTGGGGAGAATTCCCTCTTTGTCTGTGTTATGGAATAATTTTTCTAGTATGGGTACCAGCTCTTCTTTGTGGGTGTGGTAGAATTTGGCTTTAAATCCATCTGGTCTGGGGCTTTTTTGTTGTTAAAAGATTTTTTATTACTGTTTGGATATTTTGTCCATTACTGGTTTGCTCAGGAATTCTATTTCTTCCTGCTTGAGTCTCAGTAAGTTATGTATTTCAGGAATTTTTCTCTTTACTCTATATTTTCTAGTTTTTGTGCATAGAGATTTTCTTAATATTCATGGATTTTTTTTTTGTATTTCTGTGGTATCATTTGTAATGTCTCCTTTTTCCTTTTTTATTTAGGTCATTTGGGTCCTCACTCTTCTATTCCTGGTTAATCTAGCAATCAGTCTGTCTATTTTGTTTATCTCTTCAAAGAACCAACTTTGTGGTTCATTGTTGGGTTTTTTTGTGTGTGTGTATTTTTTCCATTTCATTCAATTCTACTGTATCCATTGTCATTTCTTGTTCTAGTGGCTTTGGGTTTGGTTTGTTCTGTCCCTTTCTAGTTGTTTGAGCTTTGATATTAGGTTGTTAATTTCTGATCTTTCTGTCTATTTGATGTAGGCATTTAAGGCTCTGAATTTTCCCCTGAGAAATGCTTTCAAAGAGTCCCATAGAGTTTCATAGCGTAGGCCCCAAGACACTATCCCCGAATCTCCACCACTGCTGCTAGTGTGGTGGACCCTCCTAGAGGTGCATTTCTTTCTCAGGGACATCCCAGCCATGAGCAGACATTATTCATTGACCTGGGTCCTGCAAAATCCCACTGCCCAGTCACCTATAACCCGTGCCTAAATAGACTCACCCAGCTGCCACTTTCATCTCCATTGGCTGAGCCCAGCTAGAGCAGTCTCCCACAACAACAGCCATAGTGGAGAGGGTTATACCTAGCCGCCAATGCAAACTTCCAACCACAATCTGGGAATAACCCTCCACCCTACATGAATATTACTCAGCACTGGCTCAAAGTGATTCGATCACAGGGGAATGTGTTAGAACAGAGCAGATGTTATATAGGCTCTCACTGTACCCACTTCTCCCTTGATGGTACAGCATTCCAGAGTACATCACAAAAGATACATCTCCCCTTCCACTAACTAAACAGGAGAGTTCCCAGCATAGGAGAACAAGTGCCCTGCAATCCTATTAGCCCAGAGCTGAGAGAAGGAGATTCAGATGAGAAGAAACCAGCAAAAGAATGATGGTAATATGAAAGACACAACAGTTTGACACCCCCAAGGAATCACCATGGAGATGAGGTAGTGGACTCTGACCACAAAAAAATTGCCAAAATGGCAGAAAGGGAATTCAGAATATGGATGGAATTGAAGAGAAATAAGATGAATGAAATTGAAGAGAAAGTTGAAAACTATCCAAAAGAAGCCAAAAAAATCTTTCAGGAAATAAACTAAAAAATGAGAAAGTCACTGGAGAGCTAGACAACGTAAGCAAGGATATAATAGAACTTAAAGAAATGAAAGAGTAATTTAGGGAGCTTCAAAACATAGCAGAAGGCCGGGCACGGTGGCTCACGCCTGTAATCCTAGCTCTCTGGGAGGCCGGGGCGGGCGGACTGCTCGAGGTCAGAAGTTCGAAACCAGCCTGAGAAGAGCGGACCGCCGTCTCTCTATAAAAATAAGAAAGAAATAATTGGCCAACTAATATTATATATATACAAAAATAGCCGGGCATGGTGGTGAATGCCTGTAGTCCAGCTACTTGGGAGGCTGAGGCAGCAGGATTGCTGAGCCCGGAGTTTGAGGTTGCTGTGAGCTAGACTGACGCCATGGCACTCACTCTAGCCTGGGCAATAAAGTGAGACTCTGTCTCAAAAAAAAAAAAAACAAAAAAAAAACATAGCAGAAAACATCAGCTACAGACTAAACCAAGGAGAAGAAGCAATCTAAGAGATTTGAAGACAAAGCTCTCGAGATAATCATCATGCAAAGAGACAGAAAAGAGTACAAAAAAGTGTGAGAAATCACTGAGAGAGAGAAGTGATTATGTGAAACAAACTAACAAACTGTAGATATCCCTGAGGGAAAAGAAGAAATTGCTAAAATCATGGAAAAC